GCCAAAATCTAGCAGCCTGAAATGAAATGTCCTTTACCCTCTTGCGCAGGCACATGGTAATTAGAACAGCTTCTCAATGTCCACATCACCAGCCAATGGGATTGGCTCCTGGAGAAATCAAGAAGGAGTCCTAATTTGTCTTCCATGCCCTCTTCCACGTCAACCTCTCTCTCCAACCAGTAATTCGTATTTCCCTTCTTGCCTAGACTGCCTACAATTCCACACCATCTGAATCTAAATACCATCCTATACTTGTCATATTTTTAATTGCAAGGTGATGAGACGTTCACTACTTGATAAATTCTCCTTGCATCTTACCATCCAGCTTGCCCAGTGGGAAGGTTGCCATCAAAGAGCATTTCACACTGACCCCTCCCTCCTGCCATACACAGTCCCCAAGATCCCCATCATGAGGAAGAGAAATAGAACGTTCTCAGCCAGAGTACATGCTCAGTTTCCTGGAAAAATGAAAGGCAGGTTGGTTCCCAGCTATTTCACCAGCCTCTCCCTGAATAAAAGCATCAGATGATATATTTTCAGATGGTCTCTTAATGGAGAATATTTTTTATACAATTTACCATTTTGAGGAAACAATGCAACACTCTCTGTGAATATGTCTCATAAATTCCCATTGGTTGAAAGGACAAGGGATGTGTCACTAACACCTCAATTGTGTAAATGATGCTTTGACTTGATATGTATTTATCCCCACTGATTTTCAGTTCTCAGTGAGGATGCCTGTCTTTGCTTATAGCTATTTTTCTAAGAAAACAAATGTTCCACTAGTGTTACCAAGATAACATTAAATGATGTTTCACTCCTTCTATTTAGCATCAGCTCAAGGAACTTATTTCTAAGTAATGTCATTTTAGGGACTGGATCTTCTAACTTTTTTTCAGAGTCAATTAAAGTTCTTCCCACAGAGTGACTTCTCCACCAATGGGCACTGCCTGTACCCAGTTTTGTGGCAGAAGTGGCTAAATAAAGCATACCCTTATGCAAAATTTTGATATCCCTTTTTTTATCAATAGTGCATTTGGAGATTCTTTCTGATTGCTTTTTAATTAGCCAGGAAGTTAAGGGGCCATTTTCAAGTGATGTGGAAGAGACACTGGCTTCCCACTGGGGAGGCTGTGTTGCTTGAAAGCAGCAGCGTCTCATTAGCTTCTCATCAGCTCAGAGAAGGTTAAAGAAATGTCTCTGTTCAGTTCAGCAATGACATTTCCCTGCTGTCACTAGAGTCTGAAACACCATTCACAGATGTTACCCTGAGTTCCTATTTGTGTAAAGGGTGAATTTTTTTGGATAAATTAATTTAGCCAGCACATCTCTCTGGATGGTATTCTCAACTTAATAACCCTCCTGCCTTGTGAAAAAAAGCAGGTGTGAGCTAAAGGGAAGAGGATGTCATGACCAAATACTAAAGCAACTCATCTTTCCCACCACTGCCTGTGAACTTGGCCTTGGAGCTGAAGGCACTTCATGTCAGCTTTATAACTATGTCCAGCCTTATTTCAATTCAAAAGGCAAATTCCAAGCCTTCTGGTTCCCCAGTGTACTGTTACTCCTCTCTGATAAATGGCACCTTCATTTCCAAGCTTTCTCCTTCAATGTTCTGTCTAATCATTAAAATGCTAAGTCCACTTCAATGTCGTCCATTCAGAACATTCATCAAAAGTTTATCAAACATGGGCAACATGCCAAGCACTGTGCTATGGGGAGACAGGGAACAAAAGAGACGAAATGTTCTACCCTTTTGGAGTCCACATTCAGGTTCAGGAG